GCATTACAATTACCTCCATGGTGTATAAAATTAAGCACCTATGTATGCAGACTGCTACTACAAATTTGTGAAAGAATGGGTCGCTCTCAGGAGCTTAGTGAATTCAGGCATGGTACTGTGATAGGTTGCCACCTGTGCATCCAAGTCCATTTGTGAAATTTCCTTGCTACTAAATATTCCACGGTCAACTGTTAGTGGTATAACAAAGTGGAAGCATCTGGGAACAACAGCAACTCCCAACGGCCAAGTAAAAGGACAGAGCGGGGTCAGAGCATGCTGAAGTGCACAGTACGTAGAAGTCCCCAACTGTCTGCAGAGTCCATAGCTAAAGACCTCCAAACTTTGTATGGCCTTCACATTAGCACAACAGTGAGTAGAGAGCTTCATGGAATGGGTTTCCATGGCCGAGCAGCTGCATCCAAGCCTTACATCACCAAGTGCAGGGAAAAGCGTTTGATGCAGTGGTGTAAAGCACGCCACCACTGGACTCTAGAGCAGTGGAGATATGTTCTCTGAAGTGACAAATCACACTTCTCTGTCTGGCAATCCAATGGACGTGTCTGGGTTTGGCAGTTGCCAGGAGGATGATACATGCCTGACTGCATTGTGCCAAGTGTAAAGTTTGGTGGAGGGGGGATTATGGTATGGGGTTGTATTTCAGGAGTTGGGCTTGGCCCCTTAGTTCCAGTGAGGGGAACTCTTATGCCGTCAGCATACTAAGACATTTGAGACAATTTCATGCTCCCAACTTTGTGGGAACAGTTTGGGGATGGCCAACTCAATCTTAAATCCTATTGACTAAGACTGGGATGCCATTAAAGTTCATGTGCGTGCAAATGCAGGCGTCCCAATACTTTTGGCAATATAGTGTATAAGTAACCGTTTACCCACTGTAGAAACCGTAAACATATACTACTGGGTCAGGCATGTGCAACATACAGAGAACAGGTGTCAGATGTAATATATATTATATATATACACACACAAAATCATGGCTGACTGGCCCTCTAGCCTTTTCAAATCCCCATGTCCATGCTACAGCTGGCAGCAAAGTGTGGTGGTGGTGGGAAGCAGCAGCATGATGTGCTGTGTCCTGTTTTATGCCACACTCCTCCCATTTGTTTACAACAAATGTGGCTGCCCTGTAGAAACATATTAGGCAGCCACAGGAAGCAGAGAACAGACTGGATGGCAGCCTAGAGCATCAGGCAAGAGATGTGGGGCATGTGGTCTGGGTGTCTGGTGCTAGTGACTCCCATGCAGGCTGGACCTATGGCCTGGGCTTCCCCATAAGGAGGGTTGTAATCATATGGGCCTAATGCCATTGTAGTACTACCCCCTTAGGGGCCACTGGATTTTAATTTGGTCCTCCTTAGCTATGCAAGGCTAGGCAACATGCATTTTTCCACATTTGCTCTCTGGAGTAGTAAACAGTTCTTGAACTTGGTTTTTATGGTTTTTATTAGGGGTTAAGAACTTGGATGGGGTCTAGGGGTATATGGGATGCCCAAAGAACTGCTGAACGTGAGGACTACTTTATGTACAAAAATGTGAGTTAGCCACAGTCTCTATTGAGGAGCACCTACGCCCCTTCAGTGTACCTCCTCAGACCCTGTATAATTCCTCCTCTTCACCCAGCTGCACTTAGGGTATCCCTGGGCAAGGGGGCCCAAGAGCTGCCAAAAGAACAGTCCCGGATGAGAAACTAGTTGGGTCTTGCACCAGACCACCCTTCTCCCCTTATCCGGCCGAGGGGGTGTAAGAGTACACACACTGTCCTCTCCTGTTAACCTAGTAGGTTGGTGGCTGCCTTCAGGCCTTATGCTGGGCTGGCTCCTTCCCTACTACACAGGTTGTCCTCCCCAGGAGACACTGAGGCAGTAGAGATTCTCTTCTCCAACATCCTGCCTGTACGTAGGATCCCCTCCCTGGCTCCACACTCCAGCCTTCCTCAATCTATCTACCACCCGACTCTGCACACTTCTCCCCACTTCTTCCACACTTCTGCCCAGCCACCTGCCAGAGGATTGGCCAAGGTCCCTCAAACATGCAGATCTGGGTCTCATCCCCTCTTCCAGAAAATTTTCTGAGTTTCTGGAAGGATGGAAGGTCTCCAGATTCTCTGACCTGTAGAACCTCCCTAGCTTGTCCTGAAGTGAACTCCAGTGAAAGAAAAAAAAAAAAAAACCCAAACAGCCCATCTAGCTAACCTGGAGGGTGTTACACCATGTTGATAACAGCATGTATACCCTTTAGTGGGTGCTTGAACATGAGAGCATCAAAACAGAAAAATAGGAAATTGCACATTCATGATGCTCTTGAAAATGGTGGCCATTATGCCTATCATTGTCCACTGGTATTTTTAGGGTAAAGCACTTGTGTTTTTAATTTGGAAAAATAAAAGTCAAGGAAAAAAAAAAAATAATTTGGCTGTGAATAAACCCCAACCTGCTGCACTGCTTGAACTCTCCTAACAAGACAAATAACTTTGCACAAGAAGATCTACATAGTTCCGTAGTCCTGCTTCATAAGAGACAGATTTGCAGTAATTAACACCTTTATCCTCTATTTTGCTGCATTGCCGGCTCATCCTGTACCAGCAGCCTCTATGTCTAAAGTAGACCATTGACATTTGGAGCAGGAAGATTACTATTACACTGTGGGGTTGATTTACTAGCTTGTTCAATTAAGCTTTGACAAAAAAAAAAAAAAAAAAAAAAAAACCTGTAAGCGGATTGGTTTCTATGAGATACACATACATACGTGCACACGCACACACTCTTCAAAATCAACCTACCAACAGTCTCAAAGTAATATATAAAAAGTATCCCAACTGAAAAAGTAGCGAACTAGGAGTAGATGACTTAAGGAGTCCTGCTCTTGGACTCACAGTACCCTACTGGACTCATTCTGTATGCAGAAAATCCAGCATATTAAATAGGTTATTAAAGAGACCTGAACATCCAGTTACACAGAAATGTCCCAAAATTGTCTAGAACGGTGGTCACAACAAGTAGATTGCGATCTACCAGTAGATCGGGATCTAGGCTTACTGACCTTCCACCCCAGAGCATCAGAGTGCAATGCAGGGGGACTACTTGTAAAGCTGGAGCTGTAGTAGGAAGCAAGAGCCACATAGTTCCATGCCTCCACTGTAGTGCTCACTCTAGAGTTAGCCAACTGCACTCCACCTCTTATCCCGGCTAGCAGTCTCTAGAGTGGTGCCAGCAGCAGGAAAGAAATCTTCAGGTCAGTGTGAAGCAATACATTGGGCATAATAGAATAGGGCTACTATCACACTGATGCGCTTCGGTTTGCCCATACCACGGGTCCAGTACAGTGTACCTGCAGCTTTCCGATGGGTTTGCTGTGCTTAGCCATATACTTCTATTATATCCTGCGGGTTTGGTGCACTTTCTGAAAGCGCACCAAAACTCCTAAAGGCAGGAAATTTGGTGTACTTTCAGAAAGTGCACCAAATCCGCAGGATATAATAGAAACCTATGGCAAAGCGCACCTAACCCAGGAAAGTCACAGATGCACTGCGCTGCACCCACAGTGCAGGTAAACCACACATCAGCGTGAAAGCAGCCTTATAGGGGCTCAGAACAGCAAGACGTAATTTACATTTGTAGTTTGGGGGGTGGTAAAACCCCATAGTTAAGATGGTTTTTTACCACCAGTTACACCAAAACCCCATAGTCAAGACGTGTTTTTAACCACCCTTGCCCCAACCGCACACCCTTTAGCTGCAGTGGCCAGGGTTGTACATGTAGCAGCCGCTGCAGGAGTTATACACCTTGTCATGGTCGGTAGGTGTAGCACCTGCCAAGCATGACCCATTCAAGTGAAAGAGGCTGTTCTGCAAGTGCCCTGCAACCCCAGAAGGGGTTATAGCAGGCAGAGTTGTGTTGCTTTCTCACCACCTGCTTTAACTCCCTGGACCCTGCAGAAGCATGCAGTTGCGGGGCGCTTGCAAAGTGGCCCCATTTACTTGAATGGGCTGCTACTGGCAGGCAGTAGCAGCCACCAAAAGCAACAGGCGGTCTAATTCCTGCTGTGACACGTGTACACTTTTGGCTGATGCCTCAGCACCTAAAGGGGGTAGGGATTGAGGGTGGTAAATGTGACTGGTTTTTAACCCCCCCCAACTGTACATGTGAACAAGCCCGAAAAAGTGTCACTGAGCAGACACAACTGCTCCTCTGAAAAAAGATCGGAGTGTGGTATGTTGCCTACCCACCACCTGATTTAAACCCATGATTGCCCTACAATGCATAGAATTGCAACATGGTCGTAGGGCAATTAGAGGTTTAAATCAGGTGTGAGTTGTTGACACTGTGCCTGGTGATCTTTGACTTCTCCTATGTTGTTCAGGTAGATCTCCACCTCTTTAGGGTTGGCTACTCCTGGTCTAGAATAACCGTGACAATGCTTAGCATACTTATATAGGGATAATGAATAAAATGCTTTACCTACAAAGTAGCTTATCTGCATTACAACAGAATTAGATCAGCAGCTGTAGTGAGATCCCTACAAGTGCTATGAAGGTAAAACGAATAGCAGCAAGCAGGCCTGAATATTTTACACGTCAGCATGGCATAGTGATGTCAATGACCAAAGTCACTGGCAAAGCCGCAGATACAAATACACAGAACTACACTTATTTATCTGAACAACGGTATTCGAATTCCAAATGATGCCATGACCTTGAAAAACTATTTTCCAGATATTAGATTTGCATACCAAGGTTTGACCAGGTATGCACTCCGATTTTCGAATAATAGATTTAAAAGGCTGCGTACAATTCAGTTTTAGGATGATGGAAAACGTGTATGACTGATGCTATGTCTGTGTAGATGACTGACTGTTGAAGAATAATGGTGAATAATGTATATGAAAACATGGCTTTTTTTTACTTTATAAATGGCCAAACATACACATCAAGGGCCCTGTTAATAAAACTGTTGATTTAGCATGACCGAAAGGAAAGGACTTACCGCAATCCTTAGTATCGAGGCTTTCACAGATGTCCATTTGTCCAGTCTTCGGTCAATGACTAAGATAAATCCAATTCCCGCATCTTGTAAACTAGACGTAGAATTAGAAAGAAGGAGAGAGAGAGGCTGCAGTTATTATTCCACGTGTGGATGCTGCTTCCTCACTATGGTGCAGCTTTTTTAACTCTCTCCCTACTGAGCAAACCTAAGTACAGAAGCTGAAATAAAATTACAAGGCTTTACACAGGCTCAATGCCACCTTTCCGTGTGGGGTCCATGGAGCTGGTTTTACATGACCCGTGCAATGTCATTTATTCCATTTTTGTTCAATCTGCAGCAGCCTGCATCCCCTTGATTTTCCTCCCCATCACCACCATTCTTGCAAATGGTCTTCCCATACAGAATTGTCTCATCCTCAAAAGCAAATGATGCATGTCCACACAGATGCATTAATTACACAGCTGTTACGACCCAGTATTTAGCCTTCATCTTCCACCTTGTTACAGCATCCGTTGATGCTGCACCAGCACCAGCACCATCAGTCTATTTGTACTAAGGGTTGTGGATCCACCTTAATCACAGCAACATTATATGGCTGGTTACGGAGAAGGAGGTACGAGCCAGATGCAAAGCTGCCTTCACTGCTGACTGAAGAAATGACCTTTGTTTTTTCTCCTTTCTGCTCTGTTTAGCTGCATATGCTGTAGACATGGTGCATGACTAGCCCTATATCAGCTTCTAGTCGAAGAAGCAGGGAAATAGTGCAGTGCCAGCATCTGACTGGGGGTGGGGGCCAATCACAGCAGCCTGGAAGAAGGAAAACGCTGAAAGGCTGACAAGAATAGCGAATAGTAAATACATTGCGGGAGATAAAGATTGGAGCATAGGAAAGGCTTCTCCGACTAAAATAAGCAACAGTGCTGAGAAGAGCCATTGCTGATGACTGTTGCTGAAAGATTAGGATAACTCAATACAACCTATTTTATTTCAATACGTAATAAAAATACGGCAAGGAAGGAAAATGGTAAAATAGAACTGCCATGCAGTTTATGACTAGAATTCAGATATCCATCTGTGCATAAAAAAAAAAACACCAAAAAACAAAAACTACTAAACAAAATATATACTATAAAACCAAAACTGCTCTTAGGCTCCATTCACACTAGGGCGCTTCAAATCATGTGCAGAACAAGCGAGATTCTACCCGCGATTTGAAACATGCTGTGAAAACGTGCATTCATGTGTTCAGGTGCCATTCATTTCAATGGCACCTGAAAACGCAGAGTGTTTTTTTTGCCACGATCACGGCGCAATTTTCCATGCGACAAATGTGGTGCAATCGTGCAAACAAAATCGCAGGACGCACAACACCGAAAAAAGGTTCTGGTACCGTTTTTGGGCATAGTGTGTTCCACGGTTTAGTTTCAGTTGTAGTATCAGGGAAGGAAATGCTCCAGAGTAGCTCTTTTCAAGCTGAGCTAATCAAAATGAATACAGCTGAAAGTCAAACAGCTTTTTGTGCCATTGAGAAGGTACAACTACAACTGACGGAGTTTACAAGCCATTGCTGGTGGGGGGGGTTGATCCTTTTTACAACTCAGTGATTGCATTTATTAATTTTTTAAAAAGTTTTCTGATATGTTGGTGTTCTATCTTTTAAATGCAGCTGGATAAAACGAAGACTGTGCCTATTCTCATTGCAGGCTGCAAAGCAAAACATTTTTTGACTGTAGTTTTTAGTTATTCTAAAAGATTGTACAATCAGAAAGCAACAAAGTTTGCCTATAGCTGAACTAAAGCCGGCCATAGATGAGTAAAAAACCGAACAAAATTTATGTTGATCATCAAATTGTTCGCTTTTTTGCATTGTTAGCGTGCTAGTTGTGACACGATTTTTTGTGCTGCAATTGAAACTGCCCAAAACCAACATGCTGGATTTTTTTTTTTTTTTTTTTTAGAGAAAGAATCTGGTGCAGCTGTACATAGTAATCAATCAGCTTCCAGGTTTTATTGCCAAAGCTTAAGGGTGGCCATAGACTAGTCGAAAACCAAATGTTCGGTCAATCAAAAAATTAAAATGGCTCATATGGTTGCGCCATCATTTAATTTTTCTAAAAAACAAAAAAAAAAAAAAAACTAGTATGTTGGATCAGGCACTTTCGATCGTGGCTCACATCTCTGCTGTTCTTGCAATGTAAAGTAACTACTGGGATAACTGAAAGGATTTATACTGTATATGTCAATCACCTGGGTTTCTGTAAAAAGTTAAAAGGCTTTCATTGTGTGGACTCTTTCCCCTAACCTCAAGATGGGGTTGTCTTCTGGAATAGAACAGGTGCTTGGCAAGGCTGCTACTGGGGTTGACTGTCACAAGGTCTGAGAAACGTATGGAAAGGATAGGGCTACTGGGTGGTGCTGGTTAGGCCAGGCTGGGGCTATCCTTTTTTGTATTGGTGCTCAGGTGAGAACCCTGTGCCCATAGCACCGCAGTGAGTCTAAGGCACAGGTGTCATAGTTTGGCAACAGCTGGAGGGCCGTCAGTTTAAGTCCCATGAGGCATTGCAAGATTGACAGTTACAAGCATGACTCCCAAAGGTAGAGGTATGATGGGACCTGTAGTTTCGCAACAGCTGGAATGTCGCCAGTTTGACATCCCTGGTCTAAGTGGACAAACCTCTGTTGGGCACAGTCAAAGAGAACATGTCTTTCCCACCACATGGCAGTACATGTGGAGGACATGCAGACCAGCATGTGGCTAGGCTGCAACACAACAGTCACAGGGGATACACCATGCCATTTACTTGAACAGAAAACCTATTCATATATGAAATGCTTTTATTCTCACTGCCAAAAAAATTAAAACTGCGTTCAAAGTGGCATAATAAAGCCATTATCAAAAACACAGCTGGACCATATCATGCACTCCGAGGTGAGAATATTCATACAGGAGCCATCAGCCGATGTTGGGGAAATGGTGAAACCCAATGAAAGATTTTTCAGCCAGCTTCTATTCTCACCAGTGTTGCACCAGTACTGGTATAAAAATGCACACCACATTTGATACCTTTAACCAGCTTCAGTATTCCAAAGGAAACGGTCAATAAAGCTACAAACACTTGTACGGTGCTTATGGCTCGTTCTTTGTTTGTTTTCAAAATGCGTGTATGTTAGCCCCGGAAAATACTGTACAATCAGGAACCAGCATAAGGAAAAATCTAAGCTCTGCCAACACAGACATTGCACAGTATGGTGTCATAGCATCAAAATGTAAAGACATTATTGTCAGACTTATTAAAACCAGCAATGCTCAGCACACAAGCCAAGGCCAGCACACACGCACCAGCCTGTGCTTTGGAAGGAAATTCAGCTGGGGGTGATTTATGAAAAAAAGGATTAAAAAGTGAACTTTTGTTATACACTGATCTCCATGAAAATGAAACATCAGTTCTGCTTTACTTTTGTATCAACTGACCCTTGTTCTTCCACCGAAGAGCTTCAACTTCAGTTTCTGGCAACCCACAGCTCCAGTGTTCATCAACAGTTCTATGAAGCTGGCAGCACTGTTAATCAAAGGCTTTCACTGTGTATAAGTATATACACTGAAGGCAAAACCAAGATGTATTATGAAACATATAGAGCATTTTTACATTACTCCAACAAAACTGGCTCTGTTGTCATAGGGTCCTGCAAAAAGCCCAGGACAAAACCGCTGCTGTCTGGTCCCTTCAGGCTAATGTTTCTATTAAAGGCTTGCCTCTAGGAAAAACTGGGGATATTCTCTATCTGCGCACGAGCTGTCACATACAATCTCTGCAAAAGCAAAACTGGAACGCCTGCAGTGCACTTTCACAGTGACATACTTATATGTTTCGACACTCTGCAGTACCCTGAAACACAGCTCGTTTTTGTGCTTTGCATTTTAATTTTATATTTTGCACAACTGTGTCTAATTCAATATAGAATCTATTTTAAAATGTATATCTCAGTTACATGTAATCAACACAATGTACACAAAATTCAACTATATAGAATTGGTAGGTTGGAGTTGGTTGTACAAAGATTGCGACAAGGATTGCCCTAATATAGGAAACGTATGCCATGCAAATTAGTCCATGTTATATAACAGGCTCCTGCAAGCTCTTAGGACACCTTTTACATGCATGGCTTGAATTTTTACATGTGCATTTAAGAACTATGGCCACTCATTAAAAATTATGTTCTACAGCAGCACTTAAGTGCATTTTCCCTTACAATTTTCTCGTAGTCCCCCTATGAAGCCCCACAAATGTATGTTGAACTTTCCAGTGAAGTCCACCTGATGCAGCTTCCTGTGATTGGGTGGAAAGCATGCTTCACTGATATTTAGTTCAGAGCAGAGTTGCCTTTCTTATGTAGGCTGTGCCTACTTGCACTACAGTGGGAAGAAAACGGTTGCAAGGGGTATAACTATTAGTGCTGTCACTGCTGATTCATAGTAGCTGGTCAATCAGGTCCTGGTCACACTTAGTCCTTCCCACTGCTTCCTGGATTGACAATACTGCCCCTGTTGTTGAAACCTTCCCACTGTAAGGTGCAATGTCTGAGAGGATATGAGACACAATGGAGGATTCAACTTAATCAGGGAAGGTTAAAGCCAGCCATGGATGGATCAAATCTCGTCCAGCTGAGCAGAGACTGGCTGAAAGTCAATCCTTCTATGGGCAGGCTGGTCATACCCAAGTCAATCCACCAATCGTCTTGGGTACACAGCCGGTTGGATTTTTTACGTGCAATTACTGCTGGCGGCTATAGCAGTAATTGTGTTCTGCTGGCTAGGAAGGTTCCCTGCTGGCAGAACACAATAGCGCTGCGGGAGGGATTCTCCCATCAACACTGACTGTGTTGATTGGGGAAACGAGCGATCCTTCCTTTCTTCCATCTGTGGTGGAAGGAAAGAAAATCAAATCATCTTTGGCTTACCTAAGGAAGTATTTATTTGTTTACTTTTTGAGTATTGTGCATCATAAACTAGATTTGGTACCTGTATAGACCTGTCATGCTGGAGCTTTTAGGCTGGCCATACATTATACAATTTTCTTGGTCAATTTCCTT